TATCCTCTATTACTATTCAAATCTGCATTTCTAGTCTATCCTCTATTACTATTCAGATCTGTATTTCTAGTCTATCCTCTATTACTATTCAGATCTGCATTTCTAGTCTATCCTCTATTACTATTCAGATCTGCATTTCTAGTCTATCCTCTATTAATATTCAGATCTGTATTTCTAGTCTATCGTCTATTAATATTCAGATCTGTATTTCTACTCTATCCTCTATTACTATTCAGATCTTCATTTCTAGTCTATCGTCTATTACTATTCAAATCTTCATTTCTAGTCTATCCTCTATTACCATATGAACCGCTATTCTCTACTCTATTGACTATACTATTTCTCTATTTGGATCACTATAGGGATTACTATTCAGTGGTTACTTTTTGAGCGAGTATTATTGAGCAAATACTATTAGTATGAGTGCTATTCAAAGACATCAGACACCAGTATTGTTCAACGGCATACTATAGTTGCATCTGTGATTACAAAGGCTCTACTACAACAAGCATTACAAAAGTGACAACAAGTATTCATTGGCATTACAAAAGTGGCAATAAGTGTTCGTTGACATCACTAAACATAGATAACATTATTTTTAGTTAAGAGGATTTTGTTCATAAGTATTAAATTGAGTGTTTAAATTATTTTTATACAGAAGATAAATCTTAGATGTTTGTTAGGACTGTTGAGTGATATGTACTGGTGAATTATATTTTAATTCCTTTTTCATCCTGCTCATAATTAGTATACATCTGGTTACGATAGAATAATTTAATATGGAGTTTACTTAGCTTTGTGTCAGGGTGGGGTGGGGATTGAAGACACACACATATACATATATATATATATATATATAGTCATGTACATAATATTAGATAGATGTTATTTGATAACCCAACAGTACTCACATATACACAGAGTAAAAAGAACCTTAAGATACTGGAGTTCTTCTACATTAAAACAAAGCAGCCCACACTCTACAAAATTACATTTCAAACTAGTCGCAACATATAGCAATGCATTTAGACAGGATTATGAATTTATGAACAGCATCTGCTATTCTGTTATTGTCACATATTATATATATATATATATATATATATATATATATATATATATATATATATATATATATATATAATATATATAATAAATATATATAATAATATAATATAATATAATAATATAATAAATATATAATAAAATATATAATATATAATATATATATATATATATATATAATATATATATATATATATATATATATATATATATATATATATATATATATATATATATATATATATATATAGTGTAGAGGATCAGCAGATCATTATTCGAACCTATATTGTTAAATATAAGAGACAACAAAAATGTCTATTATGTTTGATCATGAGCCGTTCCAAACTTCGTATAGTGGCTTTAGTTTCAGGAATAAATAAAGACAAAACAGTCCAACATTTAGATATTTATTTAAGCTTACATTGATGAACAACATAATAAATAAATATTCAGATGTTGAACAGTTTTTATCTTTATTTTTTCCTGAAACTAAAGCCATATATAAAGAAGTTTGGAACAGCTCATGATCAAACATAATAGATATTCATTGTCAGTTATATCTAACAATATATGTTTATACATACATATATATATATATTTTAAGACATTTTGATGTTTATACATCTTTTTATAGATATGAATATTATAAATATAAAACACTCTTGCAGACACTCATTCAGGCACATTTTGTGTTTGTTCAAAACACACAGAGCCAACCTGTGGTTTATACTGCAACTATGCTGAGCAGACCTTAGTTACAGTTTCTGGGAGTGAGTGTGTTATCTAGCATGATCACCATATATATATATATATATATATATATATATATATATATATATATATAAATATAAAAAATAGTTGTTCATCAGAGTAAAATTAGACCAGGAAACAGTTGTATTTAAAAGGGCTCAATACACATATAAAGAAAAGAAAAATTTAATATTCAGAGATTTTGAATTTATAAATAATAGGAGATCAGCCAATCATTCTACCTTGGTTTGAAACCATTTGGTATCCTCAGATATCATACGCCCATATTACCTGAGGATACTGAAAGATTAAAACCAAGGTAGCATGATTAGCTGATCACCTAGATTTTTTAATTTTTAAGTTTTTCCCTAATTATTATAAATAATAATAATAATTAGGAAAAACCTTAAAATCCATTGTTGGTTAATAAATTCATTTTGATGAATATAGGTATATTCATTTCATCAGACCGACTACATTTTATGAAATGGAATCAACGTATCCAGACAGAGATATATGCAATGATAAAAAATAAGAAATAGAAAAACTAAAAAATAATTAAAAAAATACAAGATGAAACAACAGCAAAAATAAATTGACTAAGAAAAATTTTCTTAGGGGGGCTTACATTAATAAGAGCGAACAGGTTAATATAATGGGTATGGGAAAGTAAAGAGATAGAAAGGTCAAATTTAAAACTGAGTTACAGCAATTATATATATATATATATATATATATATATATATATTTATTTATTTTAGGATATTAAAACATGTTATAAAAATCGCTAAACAATTACAGTTATGTTTCAACACCATAAATGTATCTCTTCAGGTGATGTTAAACTACTGCCAAGTTCACTTAAATAAAACCTTTGTTTTCATTAGCCATGCTCACTGAACTATGACACTCCCAGTTTTTGACAATAAAATTTTATGGTTATTGGCACAAAAATTTTTATGCCTGATCATGTGATCATTATCAACCAACCAGATTTCACTTTAAATAGATAGCACTCGGAACCACTTTTTTTGACATAAAACATAAAGACTTCTCCAACTCATTTAGATGTGAGACATATCAAAGCATAGTGACATGTCTCTCTATCTCAATTTAATGTTTGAAAATCATAGAATTGTGGAAGCAGTAAAGGTTATTGTAAATATTCTTAAATACTCTAGTTGCATTTTCAACTTCTTTTTCATATATATATATATATTCAGTTGTATGGATATGAGATTGTAACTCTGGGCTTCACGCTTTTGTGAACATCAGACAAAAGCATGAAACCCAGGAGCACAAACTCATATCCATACAACTGAATATGTTAGCTCTATCACTGACATTGAGCACTTTCCACTAAGTCCTGTGAATATAAAATAAAATATATATAAAATATATATAATATTAATGGTCAATATATATATATATATATATATATATATATATATATATATATATAAATTCCCAAGAGGATAGAATACAGGTAGAACTCAATGTCCAGGACAGAGTAAGAATTACTCTAGAGCTTTCATACATTTCCCACCCCCACACATACACTCTCAGTAAAATTTTGTTTTTTATAGCCGGAGTTATATTTTCTGATTTCTTTTTGAATTTGTAGGTGCGATGAATTTGATTGTAATTACAGTTCCAATGTAATAAATTATAACCATGGAATATTAGTCTTTGAGCCTTTTATATATATATATATATATATATATATATATATATATATATATATATAGATAACTAGACTCGTTTGAAAAACCCTCGGGTTTTTTGATTTGCTAATCAAATCAATCTCGAGGGAAAAAAGGTTTTTAAAAAAAAGAAAGAGCTACAAACATGAACTTCTGCCGACAAAAAAATTGCACAGATGCAGGTCTGAAGCCCAAAGAAAAACCCTGATACGAGTAACAACTAACTAACAAAAGAGCTCAATACAACTGTAGAGCAGACCTAAATTTACCTAGTGAGCCAGACAAACCTACCTAGGTTTCACCTAAACGGATCGTCAGGGAATGTTTGGCCAAACTTTCCCTGACGATCCGTTTAGGTGAAACCTAGGTAGGTTTGTCTGGCTCAAATGGTGTATATATATATATATATATATATATATATATATATATATATATTATTTTTGGATAGATGTGAGTTTGTGACCCTGGGTTTCACGCTTTAGCAATCGTCAGAGTTTGTCTGACAATCGCTAAAGCGTGAAACCCAGGGTCACAAACTCAAATCTATCAACAAATATGTTTGGAATCTCTGATATTGAGCGCTTTCTAATAAGTACCAGCATATAATATATAAATAATTATCTATATATATATTTATTTATATTTATATACACACACTTTTCACACATATATATATATATATATATATATATATATATATATATACAGATATGTGTAATTAATATATGTAAAAAGTTTGTCACTTAGCTGATTGATGTTACTTTCAGCATCCCTTCTCGAGAGTTTCATAGTTAGACCTGTCTGTCCACTCGTCAGGAGATATCAGCAATTGACTGCTTATATTTGATTCTTTTTATATGTACTTAACATTGAGGCAATTTTTTTTATGATGCACATGTGTGTTTGTTCGCATGAATATGTCCATCTGCACAGATGTATGTACATGTAGGGTGTTCTGATTATTTATTCATTTTGACAATTTTTTTTTTTTTTTAATACTACCCTCCTTAACCTTTTCTTTCTCTCTTTTTTTTCCTTTCACTTGTTGGCCATTGGGCTTTTGTTTTTTTCTGGACAGGCTGCTGTTATTAATTTTTGGGTATTCTAGTCTTTTCTTGAATATATATGATGGAGTCTCCCATCATTTTTTATTTATGAATGTCTAACAATTCAGCTCCAAGAACTGGACAATATCTAACTACCTGCACATATGACTATAACAGTGAAGGCTTGTACCGAACCATCCACACTTTTAGAAAAAACTGAATACAGACACCCAGAGCTGGGAGGAGAAGTGATTTCATACCTCCCCTAAGGGTATTTGCAATTATAAGTGATTATAATGAAGCCAAATGGATAAAACACATGTTCATAACTAAATACTTTCTTGCTCAATAATTGCTATTGACATTACAACCTAATATTGTCATCATTATTTGTGTATAATAAGCTTACACATACATGTATAATACAATTACGGCTTATGGTCATAACACATTGAAGCACCGACTCTCATGTGATCACCGAAATTAAGCAATATCAAGCCTGGTCAGTACCTAGATGGGTGACTGCTTGGGAATATGTTGTAGAGTGGTTTCACTATCTGGAGGCTTGTATTTGTACTAAGTCGGTCCTAAAATAGGTTCGACGTACAAAAACGTTAGGAACTTGATATAATAGGTAATGACGCAGAGAAATCTAGTTGCAGTCGCTGATACTTTTAGTATCCGACTAATGGTCGTCTGTCATCGACTGACTGACCAACTCCCTGAGTGACTGCTACTACTCCTACTTATTATAGGTGGGAGAGTCTATTAACTATAGAATAGGTGTGTTCCACTATAACAGAATACCAGGTGTTGTAAGCTTGGATGCGCAGGTAAGGTAATGGATACTGGATCAAAATTATTAATTGGAGAGCTGAGTTCCAATTCCAGTTGGGTTTGTTATATTCACTTACATGCAAATACCCTTGCGAAAGGTATGATTCCACCTTTTCTCCCACCCCCTAGCTATCGGTTAAATAGTAGGACTAAATCATTATTATCTCCCAAAAATATCTGATGGATAACAGCATGAAATGAGAAATCAGAGAGTCAATTTCGAATTATAGTTAGGCTTGTTATATTCACTTATGTGCAAATACCTTTGGGTGATCATGAATCGAAAAGAGACATGATCACTGAAGCATGTCAAATCTATCCCTACCAGCATGTATTGGGATGGCACGGTCGGGTAATGGCTCAGTTCTTCCTATGAACAGCAAAGATGGCGAGATCTGGGGAAGGCCTATGTCTAACAAAGTACCTTCACATGCTGAGAAGAAGAGAAGAAACTAACATTCGCATGCATAAATAAGGTGACGTAATTTATTCTGTCAAGATGATAGCAGCAGCAGCAGCTATTTACCATTTATAAGACTTCTTGTTGCCTGGGAAGACCTAAGAAGATTCTGAGATATTAAGATGCAAATGAACCTGCTACCAAAGAATATGATTTCAGGAAGTGACAACCTGGAAGTTATAGAAAAAAAAGAAATTTGATCAATTATATAAAGCTGGGGGTTCTGTAAGAAATACTGCTTGTCTAATGACAAAAGTCACTATATTTTTTTTTGGGGGTGGGGGGAATTACTCAGAACATTTTCATAAGGGTGAAAGAAAGGGAAAAAAGAAGATAATGCATTAGATTTTCTAAAAACTGTTCTAGATATTTCTAATATATATATATATATATATATATATATATATATATATATATATATTCCTAAATTTTCATTTGAGGATGAAACAGGACTTGATACTTTAATTCAATTTAATTTTAATAATTATATTGAGGTTTTCAGCTCTTGTTTTTGAAACATGAGAACTCTTATGTAGCGAAGGAATTATATTTTTTAAAAAATAATTATAATTTAAGCTCTACTTTTGTATGGAGCACTGTTTTTTAAAAATAAAAACTAAAATACTAAAGAACTCCGGATTATTTACCTAACGTGTTCTTTCCTATTTTTCTACATGTCTGCACACACACACACACACACACACACACACACACACACACACACACACACATATATATATATATATGAAATGGACTAAGTCTGACAATTATTTTAATATATTTATTGTTTATACATTATTTTTATAGATACAAATATTTAAGTAAATGCTCTGTTTATAATAAGCAGTATTAAACAACATTTACTGGCCTGAATGTCTGAGAAATTTCATAGAAAATATGTGTCCTTTGACAGGAATCCAATCTGTATTGTACATGGAACTGACATATACCCTTATGTGCTATACCATTTACTATAGAGGAAGTGTCTGGTTAGCATGGGAAATTCATACTTTAAAACAGTAATTTGACCTTGCTAACCAGACATTTCCTCTGTGGCTAAATGGTATAGCACGTCAGGCTATATGATGGTTCCATGACAAGGCAGATTTTCTCCTGCAGTAGGTTGCCATTTCTTTCTGCAGTAGACCAGTTGCCATCCAAGACTATAAAACTAAAGTTGTCGTGCTACTTACCAATAGCTGGGGAGGGGGAGAAGAAGAGGATTCATACTTTTCCCAAGGGTATTAGCACATAAGTAAATGTAAGGGATTTGAACTTGGCTCTCTGATTCCTCAATCTATCCTTGTACATATATATTCTATAATTTGTTCTTGCTTTGAATATTGCTGCCACATCTGGTCTGGTGCTCCTGCTATACTTACATATAGAGATTCTTGAAAAATATATAAGGAAGAATTTTTAATATTATTGGTCCTGACCTGGCTCCTCGCCTTCAGTCCCTGTGCCTTTTCTATAAATACTTTCATGGTAGTTCTGATGAACTTTCCACTATGGTACCTAAGCACAATACTAGATTGGCGGCAATGTCTCATTATTTTACAGTTGAAATGTCTAGATGTAACTGTAAGTTCTATGCTGAAAGTTTCTTCTATCACACTTCTGGCTCATGGAACTCTCTTCCGGCTCCTTGCTTTCCAGTCAACTTTGATCTTCCAAAATTTCAATGTCAATCGTTATCTTCTGTCTTCTTAATTCTTGTTTGTTTTTTAATTTTCTTCTCTCCCTAACAGTAGTTTTTCTCATATTCTCTAACATTGAGTAACTGATTGCACCCTAGTGACTTTATTGCCTTGTAGGGGGTGAAATGATTAAAAAAGATAAAAAATAATACCATCTCTAACTGTTCACACAGAACCAGCTGCCATCCCACTTGTTAACCTTCTGGTCTTGGAGAAGAATCAAAACATACAAGATTCCTTTGAATGCAGGAGATTGTTCAGCAAATGTTTTGATCAGCTCAAATGCTTCTCATTGGTCCTGTTGGAAATTAATTTTCACCTCATTGTACACGACTTGAACAAGATGGCCTTGTGCACAGTTTTATTTGTTTACCATTTATTTATTTATTTTATTTTATTTGTAAGTTTAATTAAATCTCAGAATATCAGAAAAAAGATTTGATAAAAGCTGAAATGGTAATAATCAAGGAAAGTGGATTGGCCAGCTAGAAAATATTTCAGGAAACTGGTGTTGTCAGTGTACATGGAAAGTAAAGATGCAGAATATTAAGACATTTGGTTGAAGATGTTAAAGTAACAGAATTGCCACCATTAAATAAAAATCATAGAGATGAATGTATGTGACATTTGATTGATTGATTTGGGACAAATTTAATCTATATTAAAAGGAACAATGAAAATGGTTGGTTCAGTAAATGTGTCAACGACAGGACAGTGGAGATCAAGAATGTCTTCTTCCCCAATTTTCTACTGCAGATTAAAAATGGAGCATCTATTTCAAATAGATATATGCTCTAAAATTTCAAATAGATATATCCAATATGATGATGTTTGACATAATAAAAAGATTAAAAACACATTCTTCAAAATATGACAAAATCCTTTTTATGTTTTTCTATGACAACAAATTACATGGCCTCATCATAAAACATATTGATCATAAAGCATATTGATCATGATTGGATATTTTTTTTTCATATGACTGATTAAATTGAACAAGTTTCATAAAGTTTTCAAAATTAAATCAGAATGAATCGATTGTAAAGATCTCTATTTCAGATACAAAGTATTTGCTATAACGTTTGATGTAGTAAAAATGTCTGATTAAAAATAAATCCATTAACTCTTCAGAAATTGCTTTGTTTACATTTCAGATACAGATTTCAAGAAAATTTAAATGAGGTGATATGCATTCCTTAAAACTGTAAATAGGATAGCTGGTCAATTTAAAACATGCCGGATCAGATCTCTTATAAGGGGAGAGACATATGTTCAAAGCCTACTGGAGGGATATTTTCTTTATTAAGTTTTATCAAGTACACAGGCCAGTAGATGTAATAAGAATTGTTTTGGAGATGAAAAGGGAAGGACATGAAACAGCAATTTCAAAAGGACTTTTTATCTGACTTTATTTCTTATATAAATGTTATGTGGGTATACATATTTTAGTTAATAATTTTGCTAAAAATTTTTAATTTTGAAATTTAATTACTTTAATTAATTTTAATTTAATTAATTTAATTAAATTTTAATATCTGTCTATATCTCTGAGATGAGGTATTATGATTACTTACATTATTTACATTATTCGGACTGTCATCCTCATCTTCATTGACATATTCACAAAGTTTTGAATATTGCATGCTCCGGCCTTCATCAGGTGATTGGAATTTTGAACCGAACCCTTTATTTTGTCTACCAGGGTATATTGTTCTAGTTCCACATACCATGCCTCTTCCGGATGTTTCAGTTATTTCCCTTTAACTCAACTCTCCAAGCTTGGTTCACCAGTGCTGTGGCCTGGTATTGAACTCACAACTCTTTGTGTCTAGTCACTGGATCGAACCAGCGTCTTTATTCACTGGGCCATGTGTTTAATTTTTAAATTTGAAAAATTTTAATTTTGGTAAAAATTTAGGTAGATATTTTGGTAAATATAAATGTTATGTCGGTAAATATTTTTGAGTTGCTATCCAGGTTAGAAGTTGAAGTTTTCGGCTTGCGATTATCATATTTTTATCCTCAAATTTCTTTTAGTAAATTTGGGGACTAAGTCTATAAGATTCACATTTTGGAATGGGGTCTATAATATTCACATTTCGAATGGGCTATTTTAAATGCATTGCTAATTTTTACTATAGGAATGCAAAAAATCAGGAAGAAAGGGATTGTCAGTGGTCAATAAATGCAAGCATTACTGATAGAATAGGGCTATTATATGTATAATGTAAATGCATTGCTAATGATTTTACTATAGGAATGCATTGAAAAATCAGGAAGAAAGGGATTGTCAGTGGTCAGGAATGAATGCAAGCATTACTGATAGAATAGGGCTATTATATGTATAATGTAAATGCATTGCTAATGATTTTACTATAGGAATGCATTGAAAATCAGGAAGAAAGGGATTGTCAGTGGTCAGGAATGAATACAAGCATTACTGATAGAATAGGGCTATTATATGTATAATGTAAATGCATTGCTAATGATTTTACTATAGGAATGCATTGAAATTCAGGAAGAAAGGTATTGTCAGTGGTCA